ACAGCATTCCTCCAATGGGACTTGATGGCAAGGGGAATTGGTACACGTGCTGGTGCTCATGCTTCTTGCTGCACCATGGGTAATAAAGTCTTCTGTCTCTGACCTGAGTGTCTCATGTTTTCTGCAAGCACCCATGAAATAGTAACCAGCTAACTTATTGGTTTGTGTGTAGGGTAGAATCAAATCCCAGACCTGACCGTGATTTCAATTTGATTGTGTTGGGCCTTGATCTGTGGATTTGGGGCTATCTGGGCACTTAGTTGACTTGACGTAAAAGGCATCTATGACTTTATTTTTCCATCTTTTATTTATCTAGGACCGCACACTAAAGTAGTTATTTTATTGTCATAGGTCTAAGCTACAGCAGTTGATCTTTGGCTAGATTTTTGTGATTATTTTTTTCTCTTATATTTAGAAAGGGGAAATCTTTGGTGCTATTGAATTGGCATTATATTCTCCAAGCTCAACTCCACATTATACATGGAAGGGAGAAACGAATATTATTAAGGAATCTGCATGTTGGGACTGAGGTTGTATGTACAACTTATGAACTGACTGTGTATATAGGCTGTGTATTTTAAAAGTATCTTAAAAATTCTCTGTGTGTGGTTACCTGTGTATGGAGTGCATTACTAGAAAGTATCTACCTGGACCACATGACAGATGTGCTTTGTGTTCTGAAAATTAGAATTCTGGGTCCAGGAATAGGTTTACTTCTTTTGCTCTCTGGGTTGGGGTCAAGTGTCTTATTTCTTGGATGAACTTCAGCACATTTGGGAAACAAAAGATACTCCCTGTGGGATAGAATACATATGTGGGCATTTGCATGGGTGACTTTGTAGATCTGATTTGTTGCGTATGTTTGTGAATGGACATGGCAGTGTCCTGGATTTGTCCTGAAGGAACATATAGAAATGATCCAAATGAATGCCATTCTCTTCAAATTATCACCTTGTGAAACTGTATGTTATTCCTAAGTCATTGCCAATATTATGGCTTAAACTTTCCTATAACTCCTTTTATGGTGGTGTGTCAGAATCTGAGGTCCAATGGTTATCAACCTTTGTGCTCTTTTCCCAATTGCCAAAAATCATTTAAGAGGCAATTCAAAGGTTAAAGTGGGGAATCAAATGGTGTAAAAACACTAAGACATAAAGACCAAAAACCCCCAAAAACCCACTAAGCCATATAAAGTAACAAAATTGATTTGCAAGTGGAACCCAAAGGCTATTGTCAAGTGAAATTACAGAAATCTCTCAGAACTAAGTGTATGGCTTCCCAAATGTCAACTATGAAGGGCTCACAATAAATATGTTTATATTAGTCAGCTTGGGCTTCTAAAAGAAAATATCATACACTGGGTGGCTGAAACAACAGACATTCTGGAAGTTCTGGAAGTTGGAGAGTCTAAGATCAAGGTGCTAACTGATTTGGTTCCCAGTGAGGACCTTCTTCCTGGCATGTAGATGTCATCTGTGATCTTGTGTCCTCATGTGGCAGAGAGACAAGGGGCTTTGGTGTCTCTTCCTCATCTTATAAGGGTACCACCTCCATCACTGGGGCTTCACTCTTATGACCTCACCTAAACCTAATTACCTTCTAAATGCCCTACCTCCTATGACCATCACATTGAGAGCGAGGGCTTCAACATATGAATTTTAGGGGGACACCAGCATTCGGTTCACAATGGCATTCATCCTGTTACATTTAGGGCCATGGTTGAAACGTACTGGCATGTCAATACCACTGTGAGTCTGTGTGGGATGGTGGATGAGTATGTGCTTCATGACCATGTGTGCAACCTATTAGAATTGGTCCCAACTGGTTCATCTTTATTCAATTCAGTGCTGCAAGCTCTGTGAAAAACCAAGTCCTTTAATATCAGTGGGGCTTTTTAATGACTGGTGGGTGACATGCTGGTCTCAAACTTCTGCCATGTTTCTGGAGACATGGCCTTTTCCCCCATTTTCATGATTATAGAGCAGGTGCAGGGAACTTGGACATCATTTGGTACACTGTTTCCCAAATTTCAGTCACTTTGTGTCATGATTTTGCAATAAATATGTACCAACTGTATCATTGTTAACTCATTTTCCTGAAAGTAACTCACTTGGAAAAACCACAAATTTATTTAAAAAGGAGACTCTGTATTAGTACTATAATTGAAAACCCATGTGACATAAATACAAGATAACCATAAAATACATACACAAAAATGAAATAATGTTATTAAATTCTAACTAAATTCTGATTCTCCTAACCAGAGTTCTAGGTTTTTTTGTTTTTGTTTTTTCGCTAACAGGAGAGATTAGCAAGTGCTGGAGAGATTTTAAGAACATATTAAGGCTGTGAAGGGTTATTGCACCTGAATTTGTTTGTGCCTTATAGCTACATTCTTGGATAGTCCCCACCCACACTGAGTCTGGTTTTGGCCATGTACTTTGCTTTGGCCATCAGACAATAGCAAATGTCATGCTACCAGGGGCTTGATAAGTACTTGCACATTGGGGCTTTCCCTCTCTTACTATTCTTGGAAACTTTGACCAACACATGAACAAGCCTGGGCTAGCCTGCTGGATGGTGAGAGTCACATGACCCAGCCACCCCATCACCCCAGCCAACAACCAACTAGTGACAGGGCATGTGATTAGCTAACCCTAATCAATTTGCTGGCTCCAACCGCAATAACGAGCTCAGCCTGGGTCACCCGATCCTGGCCCAGCTTAGCAGAGCCAGTAGACCCATAGGTGTGAGAGTACTAATAAACGGTTGTTGTCTTGTGCCGTGAAAGCATTTCAGGGTGGTTTGTTATTGAGCACAAATTAATTTCGATCCCAAAGTAAGATTTGTGCCATGCAGCTGATAGCACAAAATTTTCCAGTACAATTTTTTCAGGGTTGAATTTGAGTTCGGCCATCCAGTCTTACGTCTAGTGACATATATTCTGTACTTCAGAGAACTCTGATTCAGTCTGAGTTTCACCTTTTAAGTTTAACAGCTGAAGGTCCAGAGAGGTGACGTGACTTTTTTTTTTTTTTTAATTTTTTTTTTCAACATTTTATTATTTTTTGAGACAGAGAGAGACAGAGCATGACTCTGTCTCGGGGGAGGGGCAGAGAGAGAGGGAGACACAGAATCGGAAACAGGCTCCAGGCTCCGAGCCATCAGCCCAGAGCCCGACGCGGGGCTCGAACTCACGGACCGCGAGATCGTGACCTGGCTGAAGTCGGACGCTTAACCGACTGCGCCACCCAGGCGCCCCAAGGTGACGTGACTTTACCCAGGCTTCATAGTTAGCTAGTGACAAAGATGATGCTAAAGTTTAGATGTGTGCGGTCTATTTCCAGAGCAATTTGCTGCCTTCTTCAAGATTGCTGTGTTTAATCATAAAAAAAATGATGAGTAAGGTTTTAGGGAGATATTGTGTCATCAGCTTATTTTGTCTGTATCCTCTCATGAAAGCAGAAGAATTCAAGTTAACCCACAGAATTGACAAAGGTCATTAATTAAAAAAAAATTTTTTTTTGGACTATCTGTGTTCTGGATTGAATTGTAGCCCCTTCAGCCACAAAGGTACATTGAAATCTTAACTCCCAGTACCAGTGGATGTGACCTTATTTGGAAATAGAGTCTTTGCAGATGTAATCAAGTTAAGACAAGGCCATACTAGGTGAGGGTAGTCCCTAAATCCAGTGAATAGTATCCGCATAGAGAGAGAGATTTTGACACAGAGACACCCAGAGGGGAGATAGCCATACAGATGGAGGCAGAGATTAGGATTATACTGCCACAAATCAGGGAATGGCAAGGATTGCTGGCAACCAACAGAAAGTAGGAAGAGACAAGAAAGGATTCTTCCCTTGAGCCTTCAAAGAGAGTGTGTCCCAGCATTGATTTCCACCTTCTATCTTTTGGAACTGAGAAAGAATAACTTTCTCTAGTTCTAAGCCGCCCAGTTGGTGGGACTTTGTTAGGGTAGCCCTAGGAAATGAAGGCATCTTGCCTGTTCACTTCTGTTGGCAGTAATATTCCACCTATGTTACACCTTAAATGAGATGTGAAGCAGAGAAACCGATAGAATAGGAAGGCTAGGGATTAAAAAACAACCTCGTGCATCCCCTTAAAATAAGGTACTGAACAGAAACACCTGCATGGCTGAGAGCTGGGGCTATATAGATGGTAGGAGTGCAGCCTGGTCTTGGGTTTCTTCCCATCAACAAAGGAGGCACCAAGGCCACCTCGTTCCCTTTGGGCCACTCTGGCTCAGACCTGGGGCGGCAGAGCGAATCTACCAGACAGGATCTTTTTCAAAGTTCATAAAAATGCAGAAATTCAGTCTTCGTGGGGGAAGTTAACATTCACCAAAGAATTCCCTGTGGGTTCATTTTATTTGGGGTGTGACAAACATCTCTATCTTCTGTCAGTGAAACCGTCTTCTAGGAGTGAAGATACCCAGATACACTCAGAGTCGACATTCCCTCATTTCTTTTCCTAATTCTGTTGTGATGCAAATGCTGGTTTCCTTACACAGGAGAAAGTGTTGCTGGCGCCCAGTGAATTCCTACCTTCTGCTCAGGGTAGTACTTCCTTTGCATGGTTGCATTAGTCATTATCCATTTACAGTCATTTACATTTTGAAATCCTTATCCTGCTGCATCAAAGTATTAATGGAGGGGGATATAGGGCAGCTGCACCAAGGTAATTTACTTGGCTTCTGAAAACCTCCTCCAGATAATCCAGAAAAATCTGTCACATGGGACCCCAATTTGTCTGATTACCTTTTTCTGACAGATGCTAGGGTCATATGCTCAGACTTTTATTTTTGTTGCTTTCATTTGGTTAATTCTATTAGTGGCTTACTCCGGACATGAAAGTCATTTGCTATTAAAAACAAATGTCATCTCAAAAGGAAAATCCCAAGGCCGCCTTTCCTTCTGATCTCCCTGTCAACAGCAGAGTCTAGATGTTCAAATCAAAAGTGTTGCTTTGCATTAATTGTCTTCTATCCACTGTACCTCTTTAGTATTTGGGAAATAATGCCTCTGAGTGAAGGAGGAAACAGAGGTCCTGATTATTGGGTGAATTTGAAGCTGTCCCTCAGATCGGATCTGGATGGCACAACCAAGTCTGATGTCAACCCTGAAAATTTTGCTGGTGAGTTTGTCGGTGACTGCCAGCTGCCTCAGAATAACCTTGCACCCCTTCTTCCTCAAGTGTTAATTTGTTGGGGCTCCCAATGTGCTCGTCTACAAAGCCCTATTTCCCAGTTTCCCTGCAGCTAGGTGGCCATGTGATACAGTTCTTGCTAATGACGTGTAAGGAGAAGTCTGATGGGGATTTCTGGGAAGATTTTGCTTTCTTAATATAGGCATTGTTCCTCCCTCCTTCCATCCCCACTCTCCTCCTTTCTGCCTATGAAATGTCTCAAGCTGGAGCAGCCATCTTATTACCATGCAGGAGAAGCCAAGAAAATTGCAGAGACTTTGCCCCGGTGCACTTAGCTACCAAATAATGCCAGGAAACGTCTACTTCTAGACTACTTTCATGAGCAAAAGTAAGCACCATTTTATCCGCATCACTGTTAAGTGGGTTTTATTGTTATGTGCAGCCACACTTGATCCTTGGGTGATACCGTGGATTTCTAAGAGCCCAGTGCGCTGCTGTATCTTAAGTTAAAGAGTTATCTAGAGCTGGAAGGAAATATGAGCCAGGGAGGGAAGCCCCGCAGAGCTGAGTCCTGGCATTCCCTGTGTGTGTGTGTGTGTGTGTGTGTGTGTGTGTCAGACTGAGCCTGTTATGGTCTCAGTTCACTCTATGGCTTAGGGCTTTATTGGTGTTCTGGGTAACTTGTCAGAGGGATCCCCTAGGTTTCCATGCCCTTTTGGGGGAATTGCATTTAATGAACAACTGCTTTGTTCATTTCCTCACTAATTTTCCATTCTTGAAAGAAAAAGGAAGCTCTGACTGAGATAATGATATCCTAGTGCCCATTAGGAGAGAACGGTGTACTTCTAAGTGAATTGGGGAGGGGGAAGGATATATTTCTGTGAATTGAAAATGTCATTTTGTATATAAGAAGTCATTCTGAGTAAGGACAAAAATACTCATAAAAACCAGAAATGTAGCTGGATTGGATCATCTCTTTTCCTGACATTTAAAAAAAAAAAATTGTTCCAGAATGTTCAAGTCATTCTTTACCCCTGCAATCTGAAGACTGGGAGTCTCCTGGAGTCTCTTGAAATTATTCTGCTGAACGTGGGCTCAGAGTGTCGGTTGGGGGAGCTAGTTGTACTGCTACCATGGTGGGGAGATCTGTGCTTGTTCCTGGATTTTGGGGGCCTTTGTGGAGTCCCCTCATGGCCTTGGGCCCTGACCTAGAGAAAGACAGCTGGCATGGGCAGACTCCCAGTGTACAGAGGGACAAACATTCTCATGAGGAGAGCAGGGCAGACCTCTCTGGATTTGCTTGCTCTTGATATCTGAGTAAGCTCAGAGATTTCTTGTTTACTTTTTATTGCTCTGGCTATTCTCTTCATATAGCTTGACATAAAATGTACCTCTTCAGGTAGCAAGTAGGAGACAGGACAATATAATAATCCACAACTTGGTCTCAGTTCATCTGGAAGAACTGGGTTCTGCCCTAGTTCTGCCATTGACATGCTCGCTGACCTCAGGTAAGTTACTTAGCTTCTCTGAACCTTGGCTTCCCCATCTATAAAATTAAGTATTCAGAGTATCTGTTATTGTTGCATAGAAAACAACCATAAAATCTCAGGGGCAACCAGTAATATTTCTCACTCACATGCCGCTGGTCAACTAGGGGAGTGCTTTTCCAGATTGTTGAAGCGTGAGCCTCAGGCCCAGCTTGTAGTCTGCTTCATGCAGATTATTCTGGGGCTCAGGCTCGGACAGTGGCTACTCATGGTGGAGTTCTGAAGCTTCTTGGCTGGTGAGCGGAAACTTGTGACCCTCTTTGGGTTTGTAACTCAAACGCTGTCACTTGTGCTGTCACTCCATTGGCCAAAGCAACTTACGTGACCAAGCCCTACGTCCACAGAGTGGGAAATATATTCCTGCTATGGGGGAGATGGGAAATGAGTATTTACTAAACATTCTATTCTAATGATCCTCCCCAGCTTAAATTAAGAGATGTTTTGGAGACTTCCTGAGGATGATGAGAGGCATTCAGCATGGAGCCACACATGTGGTAAGTACTCATGAAACGTTAACTGTTCCTCTTGCTGCTGTCGCTTGCCATGTCTGTTAGTACTATAGGCCCAAGCTCAGCAGTGAGGGAGGCTCTGCAGAGGAATGCATCGAACAGGCTGTGCACTATTCAAGACCTTGCTGGCATGAGAATCAAAGCATTACCTCCTCCACCCCAGCAAGCAGTGTTCTCCTCTTTGACTTCAAATGGGCCTGTGGAAGCTTCTGAAAACTTTCAGAACTCCATTATCATTTTATGGAGAAGAGAGAAGGTTAGGTTGATCCCAGGTTACGTCTGTCCCTTTGGCCCCATAGTCTAAAGCTTGGATGGCAAAGTGTCATTTTCAAGACAAGGGCATTAGTTGAGGTATAAGAATTAACCATAAAGATTTGGAACTTCAACATTTATTTCTCCATTCATTCATTCATTCGTTCACTCATTGAACAAGCAGACATTTATGGAGCCCTGTTACATGCTCCATAAGCACTGTGGTGAGTGCCTTAGATACATTCTGTAAGGAGTAGAGGGCTCAGCAGACTCTGTGGTAATTCCAGGCCCATCTGGGGTTCAGAGCTTAGCTGGGAGCTGGTGGCGAGGCCAGAAGTAGGAAGTCTGAGCTTGCTTATCACCCCTGTGTCACTCATCACTAGTGTTCTTCGTGAGCCCACATCTCCTTAGAGCACCCACTAGGTCCAACTAGACCATTCTTTCAGGTTGCACTGGAATAGTTCAGGGTCCCCAGAGAGCCACACATTGACCTAGTTGGAAATGTACATAGTGCATCACTTGAGTAATCTCCCTGTGATGATGGGGCAACAAGACCCGATACTAGAGTTGGGGGTCATGAGCCTGGGTAGCTGCACGGATTCCATGGCCAAATGGAAGTCTGGGAGTCTATCTAATGATACCCCCTTCCCATTCCCTCTCGATTTCCTGTCTCTGAGATGGGACCTGTGATGCACTGGACAGAGAAGATCTTGATTAATGAATTCCTTATTCTCAAACGACCTAAACTCACAATTCAAACATATGAAGTCAATATAAACTATTTATCCCCATTTTTTTTTCAATGTTTTTATTTATTTTTGGGACAGAGAGAGACAGAGCATGAACGGGGGAGGGGCAGAGAGAGAGGGAGACACAGAATTGGAAACAGGCTCCAGGCTCTGAGCCATCAGCCCAGAGCCCGACGCGGGGCTCGAACCCACGGACCGCGAGATCGTGACCTGGCTGAAGTCGGACGCTTAACCGACTGCGCCACCCAGGCGCCCCTTTATCCCCATTTTTACAGATGAAGAAACAGTCTCAGAGAGGGTTACTTGTCCACTGTTTTGCTACAATCCCAGCTGACCTCACAGATGCTTTCTAGTCTTCATTCCATAATTTTTCCATTCACAGACAGTCTGTTGTGTTGTTCCTTGCAATGCCCTGAGCTTGCCAACACTTATCTGCCAGTGGTGTTTTGAGGAGGCTTGAGGTAGGAGGGGTAAATAAAGAACGAGAATCTTCCCTTCTCCTCCATACCCCAGGGAATCCTTGTATTCTCCCCTCCCCCCCCCCAACCCTGGATTTGTAGGAAAAGGAAGAACCAATCCAGAACCTAAGCCTATTGGAGCCAATCGTATCCTGGGTTGACCGTGATTCAATAGGGCATGGCCACTCTGTGCTGGGTGGGCACCCTTACCTCTCCACCAGTCCTGGCCCCTTGGTGTTTGCTCATCTTTGGCCTTAGCTGGCTGTGGACCTGAGGTCTCTTGGTTGCTTTATCAGTTTATCTCTCTTACCCTTTTGTTGAAGATCTTGACTTCAGAGCTTCAGAATGTTTCACAAATAACAAAGGTATCTGGGCTGCCTGGAGCGTGTGCTCTAGGCCAAAATTCTACTAAGTGCCTTATATCTGCTCTTTGCTCTGAGTGGATTTAATACGTACTCATATAGGTGGTGCTCTCTTCATTTTATAGACAAGGAAACTATGAAGCTCAGATAGGTTATATCTCTTTCTTGGGATTACACAGCTGATAAAAAAGGCTTAATTTTTCTATCACAGAATTCTTTTCAATAATAGTTGCTGATTTGGGTCAGGGTTTTCTAATATGTTGTTTGCAATTCTCAGAGCAACTCTGCTTTCTTTTCCCCTTTATTGCACAGAGGGGTTAAGCAACTTGCCTTAGGTCACACGGCAAATATTATAGTTATGAAGTTCAAGCCTGGGGCTGTCGAGACTCCCACACTCCTCTTCTTCTTCTTGCTGAGAAAGACTTCTTGGACTCCCCCATAATCTCAGACTCCCATGTGTGGCAGAAGACTAATTAAAAGAACAGCGAGGAAACATTTTTCGTTTAAAGGGCAGCCTGTGTGTTTTGTGTGCAGAGGGAGATGGTGGGAAGTGAAATCCTCTTCCCAGTCTTGGTAGTTGGTACCAAGACCCTTACACCTTCTTTCTGATCATCTTTTGTTGGCACCACTATCTTCTCTAGCATTTGACTTCCTGAATCTCTGGTCAACAGCCGTGGCTCTAAGGATTGTCTGTCTGACCTATAACCCCATTCCCCCAAACCATTCGAGGTCTGCCTTAGTGAGGCGAGCCAGGCACAGCCAATAAGAGAATAGCCCCAGCCCGAGAAGCTTCTACCGCCAGTAAGTGAACCAGGATCTTGCCTGGACTCCAGCCCAAGCCCAGAATATGGAGCCAACAGGGGGTCACTGGGAAAGGATATTATTAGCTCATTGCAACCTTTACCATCATTGCTGTGGTTTCACTCTTGCCTTGGAAAAAATTGCCTATTTTTCCTGACTACTCCCTAGCACCCCCACATAAACCCAGATGTTGAAGGGCCCACATGGATCAGGGTGAAGCACACCCAGCTTACCCGCGATGTGGGAAGTGCTAGGTGTTATGCATTTTCTAATCTGATGACATTTTCAGTCCACACTGTCTTTATTTCTCACCTCCTAATTGATTTCCCTGCTTCCACCCCTGCAATTTATTCTTTACTCAGCAGCCACCCTGATCCTTTTATTTAAAACAATTTTTTTGATGTTTTTATTTATTTCTGAGACAGAGAGAGACAGAGCATGAGCAGGGGAGGGGCAGAGAGAGAGGGAGACACAGAATCTGAAGCAGGTTCCAGGCTCTGAATTGTTGGCACAGAGCCCAACGCGGGGCTCGAACTCACGAGCTGTGAGATCATGACCTGAGCTGAAGTTGGACGCCCAACCACCTGAGCCACCCAGGTGCCCCATCCTGATCCTTTTAAATTGTGAGTCTGATCATGTTACTCTTCTGCTCAAAGTCCCCTAATGGTTTGTCATGCTTCTCAGAGAAAAGCCAGAGTCCTTACGGTGGCCTCTAATGATCAAGGGCAGGGGCCAGTAAGCTTTTTCTGCAAAGGGACAGGTAATAAATAGTTTTGGCTTTGGGGGCTGTTGGTCTCTGTGGCAGCTACTCAACTCTGTGAGCATGAAAGCAACCACTGACAACATGTAAATAAATATGTGTGATTATGTCCCAACAAAACTTTGTTTCCAGAAATAGGCAACAGGTTGGCTGTGACCCACAGCCTGTGGTTTGGTGACCTCTACTCCAGGTGACTGGCCTCTGCTACCTCTTGGTCTTTACTATTTTCTCTTGTCCTCTGCTTCAGCCCCGCTGATATCTACAAACGCTCCAAGCCTTTGTTTGGGGCCTTGCACTGGCTGTGCTATCCAGAACATTCTTCCCCTATGTATCTGAGTGCCTCCTTTCTCATTTCTTTCAGGTTTCTGCTTCAGTGTCATTGCCAGAGAGCCCTCTCTGGCCACTCTGTCTGCAATAGCGACCTTCTCGTTTTCTTAGCACCTCACATTCTTTTCTCTGCTTTATTTTCCTCAATAGCCCTTGCTATCAGCTGCAATATTTATTTATGGAACAAATACGTGATTTCTTTGGCAAATATTACTGAGCGCGTTCTTAATTCCAGGCAATACTCTAGGTGCTGGAATTCCCTAAAGAACAAAGCAGACAAAGCCTTCTATCATTGGACTTTAAGTCTAGCTGGGGAAGAGAGACAGTGAGCGCAGTGAAATCAAGTATGAATGTGGCAGGTAGAGATAAGTGCTCTGGAAGAAATTAGGCTGGGCAAGGGGACAGGTTTGGGGGGTCTGCCTCTGTTTCTCTCTCAGTATTCATCTTCTGACTGGCATCATTGCTAAGGTTTCCCGAGTTACAGCAATGGTGACATTAACTCCCTTTGCTCAGCTTGGAGCCTGGCGTTGCAAAGCTGTTGTGTCTGACAAAATCCCGGTGCCGACAGGGGGCGCCACAGACTGTGCAGAACTGCCTGCGCAGAGAGGTGTGATCCAGCCAGGGGCAGCCAAGCTTCGGAACAGGATGGAAAGGGAGGTGAAGGCTGCAGTGGAGGGATGGGGAAGTTGGAAGTTGTGGGGATGTAACAGAATCTGAACACAAACTGCCTGCGCCGCAAGTGTTTTTCATGGAGCGCTGCCTAAACTACCAGGCATTGCGGGACAATGCATTTCTGAGTCGGATGCTTAATAAATCAGCCAGGCATGCATTATTATGCCGCCACGGAGCCCTTGTTGTGTCTTAATGCTCAATTATACAGCACAGAATCTGGGTCGGGCTTTCTATCATCTTGGATGTGTGGCAGAAATGGCCTGGCTCTAATTGCTCTACATGGGAATGGGTTCATTTGAGTTTGGCCGATGACTCACGCTGATTGACAATTAGATTGAAGGGACCTCGTGGAGAATCACAGGCCCAGACAGCTCTAGACCTTGAAAGAGATCTTAGAAGTGATCCTAGTCCAATCTGCTCCTGCTGCAGATGGGGAAATTCAGGCTCCCGGAGAGGAAGTTCCTTGCTCAAGGTCATCAGATAAATAGCTATGGGGGCGCAAGTCAGGCTACCTATTCTGCATCAAATACTGTCACACCCCAGGCAGATTCTCAGGACGGCCACCTCCGCCCTTCCTATGTCTGCCGCAAATGCCATGGACACT